AATATTTCCATTCTGATTCAACAAAATATAAGATTAAATACACCTGCATGAACAAGCAAGGAAGTTCCTATTGGGTCCATCGGCTTTCCTCCCACATCCCTATCACTCTGTAATTTTCCATATAGCAAAATTATTAACATAAATATAAATATAAACATAAATATAAATAATATAAATATAAATATAAATATAAATATGGAGAAGTGAGATATTCTCCAAATATGTCAGCTATAGAGGGTGATGCTATAATTTCTCATGTCCACATCTACTGTTAGAGAATTTAAAACAAAACTACCAAGAACAGTTTTATAATCTTGCCAGATAACTTGTTTATTTTTCCAAAGTAATGCACAGCCTGGAGCAAAAGAGCAAATTTTCTGAAGCCAGCAAACCAAGATATTGTACAAAGCTCATCGATTTGCTCTTACCACTGTTGCAAACAAGCAATGCTCAGCCATGCAAAATAACATAGCCAGTTGTCTTCTGAAGATAGGTGAGGTGATAATGTGATTTTTATTTGATCCCCAAAAGTTTTACTCTTGGACATAGCAGTCACTCTTAAATGAGACGATTTTGCCCCATCTGTCAGTCAAAGAAAGATTAGCAAGTGGCTGTGGTTGATTTTGCATTCATCAAATTTTATGCTGTGTGGTGTAGACCCCACTAGTATAAAGCCTTGAGGAGAAGTATGCTGGAGGCTTGCCCAAGAGGAAGAATCCATTTATCCCCACCGGGCAATAAAATTTCATTTCCCATAGCTTTGCCACTCATATCCTGGCTATATAAGGTGGGCAGCCGTTGCAGATAAACTGCAGGAACTAGATACACTTAGATAGGCTGAGACACTACAGATTCATTGTGAGGTAGAATTCAATTTAGCTGTCATTATATCTGTTTATCACAGCTTAAGAAAATAGTGCCAATTGGGGAGAAATGTTGCAATGTGAAAAATATAATATACAAGACAGAGGGCAAAATTTTAGTTTTGAAGCACGAATTTAAAGAATTCATTTATTTCATTGAAATTCTATGATTAGGCACTCTTCTAGATGCTTTAGATCCATCAGGGAACAAAACAAAAACCCCCGCCCTTGTGCAGTTGACCTCACAGCATTGGAAGACAGACAAGAAAAATTAAAAACAGCATGTGAGCAATTTGTAAGTTTGTAGAATAAGATAAGCGCTAGGAAAAACTGGAGTAGGGAAAATAGAATAAAGTGAGTGACAGTGGAGTTGAAAATTGAAACAGGGTAGGCAGGGTCCTCTGATTCAGTATATATTTTGATATAAATTTAAATAAAATTCTGAGATTCAGGGTTACCAAAAGTCATATTACTTTTGCTTACATAAAAACAGCGGTAAAACAAGGCAGTTGACCGCCATGCTGGTAAGGGATATATATGTTTATTAGTTTTCCTGAATCGGGATTTTTCCTGGAAAATTTTAAAACTGCCAAAGTTAACAGGCACACAGAGACTTCGAATGTGTCCTGTGACCCAATTTTTGGAGCTGACAGTAATATATCGGTTTCTTGCTTCTCTTAAAGATACAAAAATTAGGATGAGAAAACCAAAAAATCTAGTCATTGGTATTTTAGTTCAGGTGCTTGGTCACATACCATATTTTAGTGTCAAATTTCCAAGAAAAGTTATAGTTGTAACCTGAGGATACATTCTAAAAAATATCTCATATCAGTTACAAAATACTGAATTTCCCCCCCAATACTTTCAAGATTTATTGGTGATTGTATCTAAAAATTTTATGAACAAATTTGTATTATCAGGTTTTGCCAACTCTTGGTGACTCTCTGCTTTTCTCCTATCTATAAAATCAGAACATTCAAAGTTCAAGTGGTTGCCTGAATTTTCTCCTTTCCATAAAGATAAATACATATTTATCACATACACTAAAGATAAATACGTAGGTATTTATCACATAAATACACTAAAAGGTATGTTATTATATCCCATTTTATCTATACGATATGTCCTACATCTTGCAGTAATTTTAACCAAATTCTCCCATCATTTTCACTCTCAAGAGTCATATCCATTTTTAGACTCTTCATATGGCAGCCATCCTCACATTAGTCATCATTTTAATCAACACTCTTACATGAACATTTCTGAGTCCAACTGCATTTATCTTGTTTAAAGTATAACCATAAATATGTAATATCCTACTTCATAAAACACATTAATGATATTATGGCACTATTAGACCTCAAAAATTGTTGGTGTTTTATATTCTGTATTATTCTGGATAATGACCTACAATATTGTTGTTCTAAGTTGGTGAGGATGTATGTTTTTTAAGCAAGATTGAGATAAAGTCTATATATAATAAACTACAAATACTGAAAGGGTACAACTTGATGAGTTTTGATAGACATACACACCATGAAATCATTATTACCATGATTAAAGATGCTGAACATTTTCATCACCCCCAAATTTTCCTCAAGTGCCTTTACAATCCTTGCCTTTCTCCTCTCCCATGAGTAGGAAGCACTGGTCTGCATTCTGTCACTATGCTTTGGTTTGTACTTTCTAGAGTTTTATATAAATGAAATAAATATACTATGGAATATATGGGATAAATATACTTTTTTGTGTCTTCTTTCACTCAGCATAATCATTTTGTTTATTAATGTTGTTGCATGAGCCAATAATGTGTTCCTTTTTACTGCTTGTAGCATTTCATTATAAAAATAGGCTACATTTTATTATCCCTGTTACTGGGTATTTGGGTATTACTGCTCTGGGGCTATCAAATAAGTTTCATGACCATTCATGTACAAATCCTTGTGAGGATATACATTTTCATTTATTTGAAGTAAATGCCTAGGAGCATAATGACTGGATCATATGATAGGTTTATGTTTAACATCTTAGGAACTGCCAACTATATTTCAAAGTAGCTATACTATGTACTCTTCTACCAGCAATGCTAGAGTCTTCCAATTGCTCTATGTCCTTGTCAATAGTTGGTATTGTGAATCTTAAATTTTAGCCAACTTTACTGGATATGTAATGCCATCTCTCTATGGTGCCATTTGCACTTCCTCAATTACTAGTAATATTGGGCATCTTTTTATAAGATTATTAGTCACATATATCTCTTTTTGAGAAACATCAATTTAATTTTTTTGCCTAATTTTTATTAGATTTTTATGTCTTCTCATTATGAACTTACAATAGTTTTTATAAATCTGGTTACCTGTCCTTTGCCTGACATACATGGTGTGAACGTTTCCTCCTAGGAAACATTGGCTTGTCGTTTTATTTTCTTGATAGTGTTTGGAGAGCAAACATTTTTAACCATGAACAAGTCCAATTTATCAATTTTCAATTTTTTGTTGTTTTGGGTTTTTTTTTTTTTATGTCCTATCTAAGAGCACTTTGACTACAAGTTTGGAAAGATTTTGCATCTACATATTGCTCTAGAACTTTTAGAGTTTCATTATACACAAAAACACATACATGTTTATGAATCAGTTCGAATTAATTTTGGCTTACTGTTATATAAAAGTCAGTGTTGTTTTTCCACATGAACACCCAGTTGCTTCAGCATCATTCACCTAGTACATGTTGGGTATGTTGACACTGTTCTCTTTACAAAACACCACAGAATTTCTTTCATCCCTGGATTCTTAAGTACATTGCTCTATGTTTTATTTTGCATGGTAGTTGGCAGATAAATTCATGCTTATTATGTCATTATAGTCTTCTAATAATCTTGTGAGGTAAATATTCTCAGTTTATAGATAAGGAAATTAAGGGGCTAACGAACTTACCAAAGATATCACAGCTCCACACAAACACATATGTGTGCACACATGGGGACAGAGCCAAATCCTCAAACCTAGGTCATTTCAGTACTTCTTGAGTTTCATTTCCCAAGTCAACACTCATTAATGGCAAAGGACACTCGAGAAATATGCTCAAAAGGCCTTGAGACATAGCTGGAAACAATCAGATTTTTTCATCAAAGTTTCATCTTTCGTATTTTAAAAATCATGTGAATTTTGGGGTGCTTGGGTAGTTCAGTTGCTTTAGTGTCTGCCTTCAGCTCAGGCATGATCCCGAGGTCCTGCCATCGAGCCCAGCATCGGGCACTTGGCTCAGCAGGGAGTCTGCTTCTCCCTCTCCCTCTGCCCCTTCCCCCTGCTCATTCTCTCTCTCTAATAAATAAAATCTTTTAAAAAAAATCATGTGAATTTTGCATCTCTTTATACAATGTTTGCCAAACATACCAAAATAAAGTTGTATATTGTATATCATCAACTAAAATAAACGCTCCAGGTAAATGCAACTGGTTCTCTATGGTATTACTGCCACCCCTTGTTCCTCCCCCTGGGGTATGCAATCCATTTGCAGATACTCCCGCATCATTGTTATCTGCAGGCTCTTTAGGTTTGCTTAGTGTTGTTAGTGTTATTAACTCCTTTATTTAAGCAGAAGAGAAAACACCTATGTACCAAGGTAAACACAATAATAAAGACAAGAGTCCATTCTTCAATTAGAATAGGCTTTAAACAATTCTGGAAATAAAAGACAATTGTCTAGTGCTCTTTTTTATTGCTATTTAATCAAATAGGATATATGAGGAGACATTCTGGGAGACAGAGTTTTCTAGAGACTGCAAAGTTGGGACCACTTTCCTTGGGGTGCAAACCATGAGCTTTCCAAATTATGTTCAAATGCAATAATATTTTTTTTTTCCTGAGAGTATACGATTCTTGTTTTAGAAGATACCCTTTCCCTTGAAGCCAGACCTATATCTGGATTTAACATCAATCATAGAGGGTTTTATTTTCTTCTGCTCTCCTGGAAAGTAGGCAGCTAACATCTTTCAAGACTTGAGAGAGATTATTTTTCTTCTTTATATAGGAGAGTTGTCTGGTCAAGATTTACCCACAAGAAAGTGACAATCCCAGATTTTATTATCTATATGAATTTAGTGTAGCAATTGATAACACTCCCCTCTTTCTGTTGCAGGTGCCGGAGAATCTGGAAAAAGTACGATCGTTAAACAAATGAAGTAGGTATACACTATTTTACTTGTTTGATATTTGAAGTCTGTCTGTGTACTCGACCAGTCTGAAAAGAAATACTTTGGGAAAATCTGACTGATGGTCTATCCATGCAGGTGGTGGCAGAGCTAGCTCAATTCCCATGCAAGCCTCCCTCCTATCCTTTAGCAGGGAGTGTAACTTATGTGTGGTATTGGAATTTCCATTTTTCTTTTAAATTTTGCCTCTCAACAAGATGAATACTCAAAGCAGTCATGTTTTAAATATATTAATCTGGGCCTAATCTAGGGCTTCAGTATTGTGGGCAGAAGCCATAAACATATCAAAATATGTCCATCGATGACCCAATTGAATTTAAGAGGAAATGGTATTTTTAATTGGCATTTTTCCTACCTGGAAATAAAGTGCTTATTTATAGTTATTACTATCGTGGATTTCAATTATTTTTGCACTTCTTTTCTCTACTTTTTAAAAATCTTTTTATAATGAAAAAACTAGACATGGATTCCTTAATGAGACAACAAACACAAAAGTGCTAAAATTCAAGAATATAATGTCTAAATGAATAAAATTTCAATTGGTAAGTGGAGGTGATTATGTAAAACCTCATGGCTCTGTCACTGCTGGAGAATTTTCAAGGACAATTATTGCTATGGGAGAAGAAGATCATCTTTTTTTTTTTTGGCTAATTTTTCGTTCTATGTTGGAGGATCTTGTTCTTTGGAATATGTCACATGATGACATCATCCCAGTCAATGATGCGATTGTCTGTTTAGAATCTAAATCACTGGTCTTCTCTTTCTTTTCAAATAATAATGTCATGTAAGTTCCATACAAACAATTATTTAAGTTCCACTTTTGGAATTTCCTGACAGGTGTACTTGCAACCAAATTTTGTTCCTTTTCTTCTGTCTTTGAAGAACAGGACACTCCTTTCTCCTGATCATTGCTCAGACCACTTTTGGGTTCTCGGCTCCATCCATGTACCCAAATCATCTCACACCCCCCATCACACTTCCACTGTGTTCACCTGTTCTTTTCTTTCTGGTTCTAATCATGCTCGAATCCCTATCCTTTTTACCTCTTCATTCTCTATGAAGTTAAATGCAGTAAAACAAGACATAACCAATTATTTGGCTATTTAAAAATTAAAACTTTTAGGGCGCCTGGGTGGCTCAGTTGGTTAAGCGACTGCCTTCAGCTCAGGTCATGATCCTGGAGTCCCGGGATCGAGTCCCACATCGGGCTCCCTGCTCAGCGGGGAGTCTGCTTCTCCCTCTGATCCTCCCCCTCTCATGCTCTCTGTCTCCCATTCTCTCTCTCAGATAAATAAATAAAATCTTTAAAAAAAAAAAATTAAAACTTTTAAATATATTAAACCATAAATAAGTTTTAAAAAAGAAAAGAAAAAATCTATAATGAATATGATTTATAATTGACTATCATAATATAAACAGTCATATAGACTGGTAAGAAAAATTAGCTGTCCAATATATATAAACGGAAAGAGACTATGAACAGACAATTCACACAAGACAAAATTCAAATATCTATTTAAAGCAATAATGAGCTATGCTTTATCTTAGCAGATTAGCAAACAATTTTAAATAATATTACCCAATAAAGGTGAGGTTTTGAGAAGTTAATATTTCTCATTACTACCAATAAAATAATTTGTTATAGCAAATTTATAGAAATAATTTTTGCAATCTACATAGGAAACTGGGAAAATAATAATTATTGATCTAAATATATTTCTGAGAATTTTAGTAAAATAATTTAAATTTGAAAAAGCACAAAAATAAAATAATGTAAACAAGAAAATATGAACATTTATGCCCCAAGAGATTTAGATTCATCTTATTTAAAATAATGAAATATGAGATAGAATAAAGTACCCTAAATTAAAATAAAACACAAGGAAATAGATTGCAAAAGTATGGGACAATTCACCTTTCAATTGCAATATTTTGCATCCATTACAAGTTATAAGTATATGAGAAAGTTTTAATAACAGAAAATACTTATGCTAGTTAAAAAAACTAAGATCCAAAATTGCATAAACATCTTTACCTCAACTATGACAAAATAGTTTTTCAAAAGGGAAGAATATAGGCCAATGTTCAATGATATTTATTTCTCAATTCCGGGATTTAAAGTTACATTGCACCTTCATTTTGAATACTGCTGGACTTTTCACATTTTCTACAACGAGCAAGTATTGCTTTTGTTAGTAACAAAGAGTCTCATTCTATCTCCTCCTTCCTTTTCTCAGTAGACTCTATGAAGAATCATTGCCATTAGGTCTCTTCACTCTTCCACCTTTCATTTTCTCTTAAACCATTTCCATCACTCCTGCCTCTGGCATGCCACATCAATTGCCCTTATAAACATCAGTATTATCTCCTAATTGCCATTTTGTCTGAAATGCTCATGAGTTCCTATTTTATTTTTTTAAGATTTTATTTATTTATGTGACACAGCGAGACACAGCGAGAGAGGGAACACAAGCAGGGGGAGTAGGAGAGGGAGAAGCAGGCTCCCCACTGAGCAGGGAGCCCAATGAGGGGCTCGATCCCAGGACCCTGGGATCATGACCTGAGCCGAAGGCAGACGCTTAACGATTGAGCCACCCAGGCACCCCATCATGAGTTCCCTTTTTTTTTTAATTTTATTTTATTATGTTATGTTAATCACCATACATTACATCATTAGTTTTTGATGTAGTGTTCCATGATTCATTGTTTCTGTATATCACCCGGTGCCTATTTTAATTCCATTCAACTCCACTGGGCTTTTCTCTTCTAAAACTTCACCCTGGCTTTTAGAATAACTCTTCCCTAGTTTACTTCCTAATTGCCTGCTTTACTCTCAGATTCTCTGACCACATCCTAACTGCTGGTGTATCTAATGCACTTGGCCCCCTTCTCTGCTTACTTTATACCTTCAAATGAAAACTGCTAAGGTACAATGATTTTTACTCTCATCTTCAAGCGGACTGTCTCAGGGTATTTCTTTCAATTCACTTTGTCTAAACTAGGGAAGCAGGTACCTCCTGCTTCCTCCATATTCTATGGATAGGTCCAAATCAGAACAAACAACAGTAAGTTATCTCCTCATCTGGCCTCCTTGTCCCTACAATGAATTAAATAGCAGCACAGGTCTCTAAAGCAATTAATCTGAGTGTAGATAGGTTGATATTCACTTTCTAAGTTTTGCCACATCTACGCAACTCTTGTCTTCAAGGCTGTCATTTATCCCTATTGTTGCTGCCTTAGCTTAAAACCCCTGCATTTCTGAACTGTATTAATACAATATCCTGCAAAGCACTTTTCCCCTCCCTCCTCTTTCTTCCACTGCAATATCCACACCAACACCAACCGATTTCTTTAAAAAGAAAACTGCATCTCTTTCCCGAATTGTACTCTTCATGAACTATCAAGAACAGACTCCTTGAAGGATACATAAGATACTTTAGAATCCAGCTCTTAGCTGTCTCTTCATTCTAATGTCCCATGACTTCCCCCTTCCTGCTTTCTACCCTGGAAGTGCTGAACTCACATAGTTCCGTGGACTACAGAAGGCAGTACAGTTTAGCAGCTAAGATCACAGGCTCCCAAACCAGACTGCATTCGTCGCCCAACTGTACCATGTACTGTATAAGTTAGGGGTAGTTCCTTCATTTATCTGTGCCTACATTACTTTCCTGTAAAATGCAGGTAACAATTTTACCTTCTTTAAAGGACTTATTGCAAGAAATGAGAAGACGTATAAAGGACTTAACACAATGCTTTGCACACACTGAGAGCTTGATGATGGTAACCATCTATGTGGTCATACTGATCCTTCTGCCTAGAATGTTCTTCCTTTTCACTATCTGGAAATAACGACTTCTCCTTGAAAACTCAACTGATCATCACTGCTCCCAGGCAGTCTCCTGTGATCCCTTACACCTACTCCCAATAAAGCTTATCACTTTTTCTTTTCTAGTTTATGGTACCACATGCAGACATTGTGGTTATATACTATCACTGCATAAAAATGGATTTTATGCGCTACCTTTCTATAATCTAGTACTGTCCAATAGAATGTTCCGTGATGACAGGAAGATTCTCTGTCTGTGCTCTCCAATATGGCAGCTCCTAGTCATATGTGGCCATTAAGCATTTGAAATGTGGCCAGTGTAATGAGGAATTATTTTAATTTTAATTAACATCTAGTGGCTACTATATTGGACAGTGGAACTCTAGTCTATAGGTTTTTGGGGAGAAGAGAAAGTATAATTCATTCTTTTCAGCACATAATGCAGTATGTTACAGAAAATGCCCAGGAAAAGCTCATTAACTGGAACAGATTTAGGAATCCACTTGCAAGTAGAAAGCTCTATCTCACAGAAATGGATTTACGCAGTTCCTAGAAAAACAACGTTGCTTAAAGTCCCACTACGGCTGGATTTTTTAAAGTCTGCTCTTGCCATTTTGCTTTGTGATGTTTCCTTATCCTATGATAAAAAGATAGGAATCAGAACTTGTTCCAGTTAGAAAACCTAAATGCCCCCAAGTTTAGTGGTAACTGCCATTTTAATTTAGTAATTAAAATAACTTTCCAATTTCAGTTTTTGAGGAAGAACTGAGATTTAATGAACTTATTCTTGATCTATCCACAAAGACATTTTACTGCATTTTTCTACAACCTTTAGTTGCCTACTTTATTTACTTATTAAAGTTATGTGTTTAATATAGCAAGATAAACATGGCCATGCTTAAAATAGAAATACAGCAAGAAATAGAAATTGGCAAGCAAATGGCAAAAAGAGTCAATAATGGATATAGGGGCTACCTCTATTTTCACTGCAGAAATTCTTGTATTTGGGTTTTAGGGGGAAGGGGGTGGGGGGGATAGGTTAGCCCAATGATGGCTACTAAGGAGGGTATATACTGCATGAAGCACGGTGTTATACCAAACAATGAATCATGGAACACTACATCAAAAACTAATGAGGTACTGTATGGTGACTACCATAACATAATTAAAAAGAAGTTTTAATATCTTGGGGGGCATTTGTATTCTTTTTCCCCTATGCTAAAGCTTCTCTATGTATAGATAAAACACAAACCCTTCAGAATATGACTTCCAAAATGATGCCTAATGTACACAAAGAACTTCAAAAACAACAACAGCAAAAAGGAGCAATAACATATTATACAATAAAGAAGCAATAAAGTAATTAGCATATGCAGAGATTTTAGCTTTTGAAGGTAAACCTATTTCAATCTAACATTCCTAAACCATAAAACTTTGAGTTTCGATTGAGTGAATGGAAGGAAAAGAAGAGTTCAGCCAAATAAAGTGAGCCTTTCAACTTTGAGAACTAGTGGCACAAACACAGATGGAAAAGTAGCAAGGGATTTAATAGCATTTAAGAGGTAATTACCTACATTAAAAAAAAAAAAAGATGCCGTTGTTAATGCTATAAATAGAAAGCAGTCACTCCTATTTTCCAGTGTGTCTTAAGTGATAGTAAAAGGATTGAATGTTCTACTATATTACTTTGCTTCCTCTAGACGTCGCGTTATAAAGACCAGTTTCAGAACTCCGTATGTATCTTTGTCCTGGGAAACTGGAAATTTTTTTTTTTTTTTAAGATTTTATTTATTTATTTGAGAGAGAGAGAGAGCATGAGAGGGGGGAGGGTCAGAGGGAGAAGCAGACTCCCTGTTGAGCAGAAAGCCCGATGCGGGGCTTGATCCCGGGACTCCAGGATCATGACCTGAGCCGAAGGCAGTCGCTTAACCAACTGAGCCACCCAGGCACCCTGGAAATTTGTTTTTTGAAAATAATAAGCTTTCTAAGTAAAATTCTCATGATTTATTCATTTTAAATACTGGTTTACTTTGGACAAATTCTAAGTCCTCTTTATATTTTGCACAAGGAGCTCACAAAGAAAATATTGTATTAAGTCCCAATGATAATAATAAAAGTCCAAAGCCATGTAATTGTTCAGATTTAACATACACATATGGACAATATTTTTTGTAACAAATAAATACTGGAATTTTAGTCAAGCAAATTATTGTTGATGTGTTTTAATATTATTTTAAAAAATTGCTCAACTCACAAAAGCTTTTCATGTTTAAATTATAGGATCATCCATAAGAATGGTTACAGTGAGCAAGAATGCATGGAGTTCAAAGCAGTAATATACAGTAATACATTGCAATCCATCCTAGCTATTGTGAAAGCCATGACTACCCTTGGGATTGATTATGTAAATCCCACAAGTGCAGTAAGTATACAAATAATGACAGTTGTAGTCCTACAATGGAGTTTGAGCCATAAAACAGAACTAAATTTGTAGTACTAATCTACACCAAAAATTTAAGAATATAAAATATGAATTTGGGGAACTTTAATTCTGTTTAGTGTAAGATATCCTTTTCTTCTTCAAATGAAACTTTGTGTGCCATAATATTATTCAGCATTTTTTTCTAGGAATCAAACCTAGTATCAAATAATATACTGTATTAGAGTAAAATATTGATGTTTACTAAATACAGAAGAGTTCATCCCATAAAATGAAACTGCAATAGCTCTACTTTTATTTTCTTAGTTTAATTATGAGTCATTTCATAGAGTGATTATATTTATAACATTAGAGTAATAGTAATAATATTCTAATTATCATTATTGTTCAACAATAATTATAAGACAATGTTGGGCAGGGAAATGATTATTTTATAGTGGTAATTTTTTAAAAAAGAATTCAAAATTGTGTGACTAAGTAAGATTTTTGTATAATAAATATACTCAAGTAGTCAGAGTTATGTTCACAAGGTAGCATCTAAACAGTTCCATTTCATTCTATTTTATATTCTGTAATATAATTATTTTATGTTAAAATACATTAAAAACCCACTTAGTTTCAAACAGTTTATGTGCAAGCGTATAGAACTATTTTAGTTGGCAACTGAAACATATAGCGTTCTCCAAAGAACAATAGTTAACCACATGCAAAAAAAGGAGTAAGAGTGTACAATCAACAGGAAAACACTCATTTCCATTTGTCCTGTCCTGGAGCAGCTGGGTGCCCCCAGATGATAACAACTGAACTGCTCCCAGTGTAACTTAGATACCTGGTACACTAACAGTAAGAAAGAGAGGAACAGCATGTTAAGTATAGAGAAGAATATGACCCTTGTACTTTCCTCTTCCTACCCCTCCAGGAGTTTAGGGTTAGACCATGTAAATTACCATTGGACACCATTAGGATAAAAAGAAAAATACCTCTTTCGTGCTGTTAATTTTAAAGGAAATGGTAAACCCTCATCTTGTTCCGCCGTTTTCCAACAAAGAGCACAAAAATTCTAAGTATGTTCTTAGGGCAGATCCTTTGTAAAGCAGAGTCAGGAGTTCGGCTAGACTCCTCTTCCATTTTTAGTTTTCCTCAAAGTGGGCTCCAGTAAGTCATCTCCTTCTTTAGGTTACAGTTTCCCACTCACGTGTAAGAGGGGAACTTACAAGAGCTCAACTCCAGGGGCGCCTGGGTGGCTCAGTCGTTAAGTGTCTGCCTTCGGCTCAGGTCGTGATCCCAGGGTCCTGGGATCGAGCCCCGCATCGGGCTCCCTGCTCAGCGGGAAGCCTGCTTCTCCCTCTCCCACTCCTGCTGCTTGTGTTCCCTCTCTCGCTGTATCTCTCTCTGTCAAATAAATAAAATCTTCAAAAAAAAAAAAAAAAAAAAAAAAGAGCTCAACTCCAATATCCTTGCATTCTTTACCATTCCATGACTTGGTGATCCCCTTTTTATTTAAGGGTAGTTTGGTTATCCCTCTGACCTTGGCTGTTCCTAAGGATCTGAGACTTTAAACTGGCCCTTCAGAAACAGCCTGGTATAAGCCTCATATTTATAGATGTGAAAAATAAAGGCCAAAGAGGATTGGCAAGGTGGCAAAACCCACTTCTGGCTTCCACTAGAGCGCTTTTCCCAATGAAGGGATTTTTGTAAAAATACTTTGAATGACCAGGAATGATTGCTAATCCTCCACTGATTAACATCTGAATGATCTGGCATGCAGGTGGAGTGAAAATAATAAAGACTCTGTAGATTGCTGCCACTATGCTGACAAAAAATTAAGATAAATGCAATTTATTCAAACTGTACATTAAATGGTAAAAGAGTAATTTATGCAGCACTGAAGGACTGACACGACTTCTCAGGAGGACCTAGGCCCTTAAGTGTCAAACATCAGTTGGCAGGGTACCGTGTAACTCAAATTTTGATTTCAGTTGTTGAAAACTATAGTAATTTCAGTGACCTTCTTTAGTATTTGATTTTAAGATTAATGTACTCAATACTTGGCTTGAACTGTTTCTTTAACAGATTAATTGCTAAACATCTATGTGTGTGTACTCTGAAAGTAGTTTTCTATAGCTTTCAATTTAGCTATTTATATAATTTATATATTTTTACACTATAGCCCTAAAGGAAAATGTCCATAAGCTTTATTGGTTACTGGTTCTGTAAATTTGGATGAGTTACTTAATCTCTCTACATTTGGGTTTCTTTATCCACGAAACTTTAGTGCTTCTTTCACTAAGTTTCAAGGACTATTACAGAAGCAAACAGAAATATAGGAAATCCACTTAAAAACAAAACAGCTTCTTTGGAGCTATTTGAAAAATGTGAGAAGTTGGGGCACCTGGGTGGCTCAGTCAGTTAAGCGTCTGCCTTCGGCTCAGGTCATGATTCTAGTAAATATTGAGTATTTATTTTCCAATAATCACTCCGAATGTAAGCTCATTAACATTTATGTACTAAAATCTACACATCTAATATCATTTGAAAAAATTATATTAAACTATGATTTATATGGCAGACACCTGACTGGACACTGGGGATACACTGAGGGATCAGCAGTAAATAAAACAGAAACAGTATCTGCTCTCAAGAGAGGGAAGTCTGAAGCTGAACAAGTAATTACAAAGCATCAGCTATTTCAAAAGTGTAGCACAGCTGGGATGGGGAGCCAAATCCTCATTTATGGAAAGAATTACTGAAAAAAGGAAATGCTATCACCAGTGGGGATAGGACAGAACTAGTACATTTCTTTTAAGAAGTGGTGTGTTTGTGAGCTCTGTAACATGTCCACACGTGTAAGTGGTTGAAAATGTGCATGGGAAATTACTGGAGCTTTTAAAATATGAGAGTAAGATTATCAGTAGAAATCAGTTTTCCATCACTTTGGCTATTTATGTAGAAGACGTCTTTTCATAATACTGGTTGATTTTGGTATTATATATTTTATTTATTTATTTATTTATTTAAATTTTTTTTGGTATTATATATTTTAAAAATTCAAATATGATTGGGGGGCCCAACTCCGTAAACACATGAATTTTGATTCTTTAAATTACCATGTCAGCCCTTTTTTTAATTCACAAATTAAAATACCATATGTCCAATAAGATATCATTTATGGTTAAACAAAACTGTATATTGTCAGGGATTCTCAACTCAGGCTGCGCATTTGAGCCACCTGCAAGATTTTCAAAAATACCTTTGTAGAATCTGACATCCAGATGTTCTGCCTCATTTTGTTTGAGTTGAGGTCCTGGTATCAGTATTTTTAAAAAGTGCCCCACATGCTTATAAGGCACAGCTGGTTTGAAAACCCCCACCATTGGCTTTATCTATGCAAGCAATAAGCTAAGTAATAAAAGGTCTTGAAAGACAAAAAACCAAGCTGATATGGTGACCTGCCCTTTGGGGGAAGCACAAGGACTGAGGTGGTGGTCGAAGAATACTTTATCACATTTACATGTTCCAGATGAGGCTATTTTCATGATATCTATTCAAATAAAGTGTAAACTGAAATTAGAAAAAAAATTTTTAATGAAAGAGTGTATTAGAAATTAGTTTGGTTTGTAAAGGAATGCTGACAGGGCATGTCATTTTTTCCCTTTAGTGACAAACTAGTCTGAGCAGCTGTTTCACTGCATCCTAAATTTGTCCCAAATGGTACCTTAACAGTGAAAGGAGGCAAATGGGAGGATGCCAGCTAAGCTGGCTGGGTCATACTTCGCTGGATTTGCAGCCCTCTCTCACATCCAACTTATTGGGAAGAAGGACTTAAAAATTTACTCTGTGCCAATATATGAAAATGGGGTCAGTCCTTGGATTTGGGCCATTTACAACTTTTGACTTAATAGTCATCTGATCAATTTGGGTTAGCAATAAAAACTGAATGTGAAGACAGATGTAATAAGATTTTTAGTCTTAACAGAGCCTCTTTTTGACAATGAGAGACATACTTTCATTTTTAATGCAAAGAACAGATTTTTAATAAAATGGTGAAATGAACTATTATTAGTATTTTAAAATAATAAATTGAATTGCATCAGAAAAACAGCAAGTTCTCATTGGCCATTCTTCACTGGGAGCCACCTCACACTGCACAAAGTAGTCTAAGTCTGACTCTTCTTCTGATGCTCATTGTCTTTCTTGGTTTCGCAAATTAGCCTCCTAGTTTTGGATTCATTTGTAAAAGACACTATATTTTCTCCTTGAATTTTGACTGAGATCTCAATGGATTTACATTGAAATATTATTAATCCCTTTGACACCATATTCAGAAGTTAATGATATATTCCAAAATACCTTATTTTCACCATATGACGATACATAGTTTTTGCAACCGAGAACTCTTCACCCAGCCATTATAAGGACACTTAAGATTCCATTGACCTCAAGATACACTGAATAGATGCTCAACAAAATTATTACCTAAAAGAATAAGATAAAAATAATAAAATGAAAGTGCTCTATTAAAAAAAAGTTACGTGATTCCAAATAACAACACATTTTTATCATTGTCACAAAAACATTGTTCTAGGAAGACCAACAACAACTCTGTGCGATGGCGAACACTCTACAAGATGGTGGCATGACACCTGAACTGGCCGAGGTAATAAAATGACTCTGGAGGGACCTGGAGTTCAGGCCTGCTTTGAAAGGGCATCTGAGTATCACCTCAACGACTCAGCAGCTTAGTAAGTGAATGCATTTGACAACAATTATAGTTGAAACATTTTATATTAGGAATTCTAATTCTTCAAACTCTGCTTTTGTAATCACCAATGAGGAATGCAAACAGCTTCACATTTTGTTAGACTAAAAGAAAAAGTAACTGAAGAGAAATAAAGATCAAGGTGACAGCATGAGATTTAAAAATCTAAGCAAAGGAGCATTTAAAATAACTAATTTTGAAACTATTTGCCTGAGACCCCTATTTTGCAAATATTTTCTCCCATTTGAAAGGAATTAATCACTGTGCACTGTGCTGAACATTAAGGCAGATTGTTGACATCATACTGAGGTTTTGGGCTATTCATTTCATTTCTAGTCCTATTGCTGAAATCATCTTCCAAAATAATTTTATTAATGACACATTCTTTCGCTCCTTTGGTTCGATGATTAGGACGCTGAATTCTAGAAGAAAAATAATGATTTCCAAAACATTTGTGTATTGTGGGGTTCTGTTGGAGTCTTGAGAAAGATTATGTAATTGTCACAGCTACTATCATCCAGTTGGCAATTATCAGCCATAAGGAAGTTAGGAGGTTACGGCAGTCTGAATAATTTCGTTATCAAAATTATTTTAAATTTCTATTTTAGTAAGCAATTTTTAACCTGTGCTGTGTGTGCACATGGATGCAAATATAATTTAATTATTCTATATTAATTTTATTTATTTATTTATTATTATTATTTTTTAAAGATTTTATTTATTTATTTGAGAGAGAGAGAGAATGAGATAGAGTACATGAGAGGGGGGAGGGTCAGAGGGAGAAGCAGACTCCCCGCCGAGCAGGGAGCCCGATGCGGGACTCGATCCCGGGACTCCAGGATCATGACCTGAGCCGAAGGCAGTCGCTTAACCAACTGAGCCACCCAGGTGCCCTATATTAATTATATTTAGACATGCATAGCAATGTCTAAAAAGGTATAAATACAGTCCTTTTGATGAACTCCCAACAGAACATGTTAGTAATACTTTAAAAAATATGTATACAGTAAAAATGAAAAAAATGAAAGATTGTATGAAGACAGAACAATGAAACTTGCATGATACTTCAGACTTCTGATCATGATGGTCAGAAGGATTATAGAGAGAAAACAAACCATATAAATTTTAGGAAAAACTAATAACAACAACAGTCTTCTGTGATTACTCACTCATGTTCATTTTAAATTCGAAAGCCCTTGGAGGAAAGTCCACCAAAGCCTCTTTGGTGGAGTAGAGAATGCATATCATCATGTGATTACACAAACTCAAAGAATTATTTTATGTGTCCCAGCACCTAGCCACATCTTAATACTAACAGAACTCTCTGTAGTATAGGAAACACTGCTTTTCTATATAAATCATTGATAAGGGCAGTCACAATAAGAAACTGAATTGTGGAATAGTCTCCTAAAACGTTGTTTAACAAAATTCTAGGGAAGAAGTGAGAGATTAATGGTGTTGGCATATGTGCTGCCGAAATGAGCACAAGATAGTGTTGGGGACAAAGAATTCCTGTCCCCTCCAAGGTCCTTTCAGCTGGCCTAAGAATCATATTGACATGAGACAGATTAACAGGAGAAAATAAAATGTAATAGGCATACCTACAGGGAATTTACATGGACGTGGAAATTTCCAAGTCAGGTGAAATGAGGTATATATGTTATTCTGAACTAAAGAGGAGGGGGTAGTGGTCTGGGACTTGAGAGGAAAGTAATGTGTTTTACAGTGATAAGAAGAGCAGATGTTTGGTAATTAGATGTTTGCCCTGCCATGCAGATGGTTCACTCAGATAAAATGTATCTCTGCTAAACTGAGGGCAACGACTCTCAATTAAGATTCTTCTATGTAGTTGAGGGAGGGGCAAATGTTCTCTTGAGCCTCCAGGGTCTCAGGTGCCTTCAGCTCAAAATAATCCACATGCCAAAGTGGCACATTCTGGGGTACGGGGGGATGTGCTTTCCTGAACCCCTTCAATAGCTGTACTTAATAGATTTAGTTTTAGATATACGTTAGCAATTAAGCTTTATTTTTCCATTCACATATTCTAAGTGTGTTTGCAATTATACTATCATTATGTTTACCAAACACTTTGCTCTTTATTAGCAAAAACATTTTACATATTTTATTGTTAAAATGGGTAGATGAAATGACATTTTATTTTTTAATCTTTCTAAACTTTAGTTTCAGTTTTTCTGTTTTGGCACACAAAATATAAAATTTACAGTGGAAGTATCACATTATAGATTCATATTCAAAGCATTTCTCTGTTCAGGTTAAATGCAGTTACACATTTGTACCCATTTTGTGAATGTTGCCCATATTATAATGGTTTTAAATACCCTGACTAATTTACAGAGCAGTAGAACAAGAAATCTGACCCACTCCTCCACCTTTACTCCCACCTCCATATCTAAGAAAATTGTCATTATTAAAAACACCTCCAAATTTAAGTATTATCATTTTCTGCCCCTAGAGGCCCTTAAAAGAAAGATTAAGTAAAACACAAAGAAAAATAGCTGAACGGCCATTGCTTTCTTCCAACAATTAACGCTTTTTTTCAAATACTGCATCACATTCACATTTTAAAGCTAAATACAGGGCGCCTGGGTGGCTCAGTCGGTTAAGCGACTGCCTTCGGCTCAGGTCGTGATCCTGGAGTCCCGGGATCGAGTCCCGCATCGGGCTCCCTGCTCGGCGGGGAGCCTGCTTCTCCCTCTGACCCTCCCCCCCCCCTCATGCTCTCTCTATCTCATTCTCTCTCTCAAATAAATAAATAAAATCTTAAAAAAAAAAAAAGAATTATGAAAAAAAAAAAAAAAAAACAAAAAAAGGGCGCCTGGGTGGCTCAGTCGGTTAAGCGGCTGCCTTCGGCTCAGGTCATGATCCTGGAGTCCCTGGATCGAGTCCCGCATCGGGCTCCCTGCTCGGCAGGGAGTCTGCTTCTCCCTCTGACCCTCCCCCATCTCATGCTCTCTCCATCTCATTCTCTCTCTCAAATAAATAAATAAAATCTTTAAAAAAATAAAATAAAATAAAGCCAAATACAGTATCAGATAGGTACCAAACCCACGTCTATTTCACATGTACTATACACGGCGATGGCCTCTTCCCTCGCTCCCTCCCTCCGTTTTTCTTTCTCCTCGCCCTCTCTCTACCTTTTCCCCTTTTTCCTTTTTTTTCTTTTTTCAGTCAAAATAGGATATTTATTTTTTCAAACCTAGAGCCTCTTCAGGGCGCCTGGTGCAGTCGGTTGACCTTCCGACTCTTGGTTTCGGCTCAGGTCCAGGTCTCCGGGCTCAGGGCGAGATCTCGGGATGGTGAGACGAGCCCGGGTCCCGCTCCGAGCTAAGGAGGGGTCTGCTTAGGACTCACTCTCCCCCTGCCTCCGCCTCTGCCCCTCCCCCTTACTCGCCACCGCCTCCCCCTGCCCCTGCCCCCACGCGGGTGTGCATGCACACGCGTCCTCTCACTCTCTCTCAAGTAAATAAATCTAAAAAAAAGAAAGAAAGAAAGAAAGAAAGAGAAAAACCCTATGGCCCCTTCAAGTTCAGGCTAACAAAGAGGTGAGTCCTAATCAGAGCAGGGAAGGTAATGTCCGTGGCAACGGGACACCAAACTGCCTTCATCAGCGCTAGCAAACGGAAAGAAAAGGGGCATGACAGTGACAAACAGGGGAAGGATTTTGTTATTAATACTTCATGGTTTACTGATTGAGGCCATCTAATGTGCTATTTAAATTCTACAAGCCTTAAGATTTAACAAAGACTAACAGGAAAAAAATACTATTTTTACATGATTAGAAAAAGAATCAGGTTTATTTATTTATTTATTTATTTTTAACGATTTGAGCTATATGTATTTTGGGCTTATGGCTTAAGTTCTAGACCACAGGCCTGAGCACTCAAATCTTGTGCTTACTGAAAGCAGGCATCTTAAATGCAAATTTGTCACTCTGCTAATGCTTCCGCTTTGCTTGAAATCATTTGTATACGCAAATGAAAGTACATTAAATGTGTCTTTACCAAAGTATTCACTTAGCTATCATTAAAATGAATTTAACCGCTATGTTGACAAGTTTGCTTTTGTTGTTGTTGTTCCCGCCTAAACCACCTGACCAAAAGTAGACTTTACCCTATGTGAAGACTTAGTAGGGAATTCACAAAGGGCCTGACGTCACAAAATAGAAAACAGATAAACTGGAAAAATCTTCTAATATTTTCTTCTGATAGATCCGTATCTTGATTTGTCTCTTGCTTTTAAGAAAAATTCAGCTTTTTTAGAATCAAGCATGGTGATAAATTTTCACATCACACATACATATGTTTCTGAACTATGATCGCCTATTTGTCATTTGGCCAAAATCCCTTTGGGGCATTCACTCCGTTTGTTTCGGCTCAAAAGCAGAAAGATCCTCCAAGAATAAATTATCCATATTGCTGTTGAATTTATTTAAAAAAAAAATGACGACATAGTTTTGCTGTTTAAGGCACTGTGTGAGGTGCTAACACATAACAACTCTTCAACTAAGTCCCTGAAAAATTCAACTTTTGAATAATGTGTAATATTTAGCTGGATTCTACCCCTCGAATTCTGTCGGGATGGAGGTATACCCATCACGATCTTCCTGTTTAGCTACATAATGTAAACTTCATTTAATATAATGGCCAATTTTGTCATAGAAACCTTACCAGACTTTTACTATCTCTAGTTAGCATTTTCACAGAAATAGCCATATTGCTAAGCCACTGAAGCCTTAGTATTGAAAGTCTAGAAGAGCGGTTGTCAAATGTTTTGAAAGCAATGAAATACTTTTAGTTTAAAGACATGATTTGGTTTCAAGAAGGAGGCAAAGAGCAGTTCCTTTCCTCTCATCTAACAGACTCTAATAGAGCACATAGTTTACTCAGACCTGTTCCTCCTTCTCAGGACCCCTAGATCCTGTGGGGAAAAAGAGGGCAGTATTCAGCTTGGTAACGGTAGGGTTTTTAAATATGTCCTCCAGGAAAGAGTTAAGGACACTGACACATGGGTGGAAGAGAAGAGTAGTAGAGTGGGTGTAATGTCTAAGTTCAGCCTTCTGTCCCCTGGATGGGTCACCAATGTCATGAGTTAGTTCCATTGTGAACCAGCAAGAAAGTCAAAAGTTTTTTGTTGTTTTTTTTTTTTTTAAATATTTTATTTATTTATTTGAGAGAGAGAGAATGAGAGAGAGCAAGCACATGAGAGGGGGGAGGGTCAGAGGGAGAAGCAGACTCCCTGCCAAGCAGGAGCCCGATGCGGGACTCGATCCAGGGACTCCAGGATCATGACCTGAGCCGAAGGCAGTCGCTTAACCAACTGAGCCACCCAGGCGCCCCTGTTGTTTTCTTTTTTTAACTGCATTAACTGTATATAATCATGGCACTTAACACAAATGATCCAGAGCTCTAAGCTAGACAATCTGTGGAGAACAACATTATTGCCACCAATTACTCTCTTAAAATTCAAAGTGCCTAAATTCAAACCACAGCATTTTTAGGATAGTCTAGTGCCTAGCATTACATGATAGCATTTTTTTTTTTGGATGATCAAAACCCAAAAATAGAACTTTTCTCTGAAATATATCCATACACCATCAATTCTGTTACATACACCTCATAAAATACAGGCTCAGGCAGCATCAATCTAGCAATCTGTATAAGAGGCCTCCATGGGTCAGCTGCCCTCTGCCACAACCAGCCACCAAGCTCTGATGAGCAGAATTTAAAAAGCACCAGTCTGGAGCTTAGTAATTTTAATGGACCTTGAAGTAAAGCTTCATTTGTACCGACTCCTGGTCTGTTCAAACAAAAATTTTAAAAATGTATGCTATTTTTGTTGTTTTATTAGCTATCTGAATGATGTCGACAGAATCACAGCTCCTGGGTATGTCCCAAATGAGCAAGATGTGCTGCATTCTCGAGTGAAAACAACCAAAATCATTGAAACTCAATTCTCCTTTAAAGACTTGCATTTCAGGTATGCACCGTGTTTTTCTAACCATCAACAAAAATATTCAATATTTTTTCACAGAGAAAGGTCTAACCCAGGTTCGAGCCAAGTGAGCGCTTGGGCATCCTTCCCAGGCCTGGTTTGCTTTCGCTACCACCTGCTCTTACTGCCTTCCTGTGACCCTACACCTACCCTACAGTCTAAGCTCCATCCCTCCCTCCAAGAAACATGCCTTGTCTTAACTAGGTGAGTGCTTGAGTTCATTTTCCTCTAGAAACTGATATCCTACTTTGAAAAAAAAGAAGAGAGAGAAAAAGAAAGGTGCCAGAGAGAGTATGTCCTTTGCCATCCAATCTCCCATTTGCCTGAAATATTCTTATTCATTTCCTTAATTTAAAAAATGCAAATAATTGAGAGAACTATTGGAATGTGATGCTATTTACTGAAATAACAAGACCTATTTTATAAGCATGGTTTGGGTATGAAAATGAGTCCACTATTTTTATTGCCATCACATTATCAAGACCTTTCTAGAAATGCTATTGCAAAACCACTCATCTACTACACCAAGAAATGGAAATCCAAACCGTAGTTGTTATAAAATGTCACGACACTTAAGTGCCTCTCCCTGTGGATTGTGGATAAGATGGATTATTAAACATCAAAACCAGGTTCCAGATGTACCACTTAATAAATGAAAAAATTAATTAAAAATGCAATTAATAAACTCATTCATGTATGCAAACTGGGAATATTTTTTAAAAGTAGAAAAACCGAACAGAAGTGACATGAATTATCTGTATCCATTTGTGAAGCAAAACTTACTTCAGTGGGATAAAAGCTTTAAAAATTTTTTTATTATTGTGGCACCTGGGTGGCTCAGTCGTTAAGCATCTGCCTTCGGCTCAGATCGTGATCCCAGGGTCCTGGGATCGAGCCCTGCATCGGGCTCCCTGCTCAGCGGGAAGCCTGCTTCTCCCTCTCCCACTCCCCCTGCTTGTGTTCCTGCTGTCGCTATCTCTTTCTCTGTCAAATAAATAAATATAATGTTAAAAACAAAAAAAAATTTATTATTAACATTGGTGAGACAGAATATCTAACTAGAATAGATGTTATATAGATAGCCAGTATTTTTCCAAGTTAATATCAAAGAAAGCTCTTCAAAATTTACACCTGAATTTCAGGTCCACAAATAGTGAATTTTCTGACAGATGAGTCAAAGATCAAACCAGGATAAAGAGACTGCCAAGATTTAGATCGACATCTACTTTTGGCAGATGTAAGCAGTTTGTCTTCAGTCCTGTCATGGCTGCTGTACAATTCCTCTGGCAACTACTTTCTCTAGACTCCTTGTTTTCGATCCAGTTTCTAAGGTTTTCCTATGGGAATCCAAGTCCAATTCCTTGGACTGTTTGCCCCTCCTAAGCCTGTCAAAGCATTACACAAGTTAATGGAATTTTCTAGAGTTTAGACTGGATCATGAACCAGTTATGAAAATTACTATCACATACTGAATACCTAGAAGTTTACAACTCCAGTCAGTCTATGCAACACCAATTTAGTATCTTCTCTGAAATAGTCACTATCATAAATTATCTGCTGTATATATCTGTTCCTTGAACATTCCAAACCTTAGTGCCTTTGTACTTGCTGTTCTCTTTGCCTAAAATGCTCTGACCCTGGATCTCTGCAAGGACTGGCTCCTTGTTATCATTGAGTTCCGAAATGAGATGCTGTCTCCTCATGGAGCCTTGATCATTCTGTCTGCCATCCCTGCATATACTTGTCACTACTATACCCACTAGTGTGCTGGTAAACATATCAGTAGGCTCTCTGGGACAGGGGGAGAAGGAAAGCCCGATGTGTAGCCCCTGCAGCTTCCCTTGGTATAAAAATACCTTAACAATGGCTAATTGCAACCTAGCAATGTGAGGTCACTAAGGGCGGTACCAGGAAGAAACACAAACAGCTCTCACTTGCCATACCAATGTGAGCTAATGCCTTCAAGGATTGAAATACCACACTATTTTGTTCTTTAAAAAAAAAAAAAAATCCTTACTAATATGTGCAATCGACTTCTTCATTTGTTTGCTCTTTGGTTTCTGTTTCTGTCTCATATGCTCTGAGCTCCCGGAGGGTAGGGGCCATGTCTTCCCAGTACCATCTCATGTGATTATCATGGTGACTATCACAGAGTAGGCTTACAGTCAGTTCTTGCCGGATGAATAAATGTGCTATGCCAATCACTGTATGGACCCTATTTGTACACACCCCTTGTAACATGTTGAACTGAGCAATGCTGCCCTTATGTTGGACCAAGAGTCCAAAAAAAAAAAAAAAAAAAAAATGAAGGCTAAAATGAGGTAAAAGATTTCCCCACGATCATACATAGAAGTGCTAGAAATGTGAATAGAACACATCTTTCTAACTTCCAAGCCCACACTTCTTACACTGCATATCTCTGTGCGCTACGAGGTAAATTGGAGCAGAAACCGTTCTTTCTTCCACTGAGTAAATGCTCCTTCCAATGTTGTTGGTCCTCCGAACCCCCTTCAGAGAGAAGAAGGAACAGGGAATCAAACGACAGCCTGTTGGGGAGCTATCTCTGAGTTGACAGGCTCTGGTACCTTCGCACGTCTGTGCTTCTGAAACCAAGGGACATGACGACTACCAATGAGCACCCAAAACCTCAGAAAGTCACATTCATTTCCTGGAACATCTATTTCTCTCAGTACCAAATAATAGTCATAAAATTTTAAAAATTATATTCTGAGTAGAATACCGTATTTGCATTAATTTTTAAAAAATAAAACATCATTTTAAAGATATATGACCTCATGATAGGCCTCTTCAGATTATACCTCTAAACTCCCATTCGTGCATCATCATTTTCCTGTCCTTTTGCAGTTCTGTGGTTTGTGAGACTGTTTGAGTCCTACAGGTAGGTGAGTGCCTACGCTGCTTTCATATCTCACTGACCCTTACTAAGGAGTAGGAAAGGTCCTGTTAGATTCTCTAGGACAGCATCAGTGCTGAAAATGGAAGGTGTTTGTGAACTGGATTGTAAAGCCAAGTTAGGACTTCTTTTGACCCAACATTCTCTATACTACCCAACTACTACCTCTTTGCCATTCATTAAAACAGGTTTTTAACTCTTTTAATAGGTTCTGTATTTCCTCCCACTCAAGAGGGTTTGTTAACAAAAGGCATCTTCTATAAAGAAATGGAGAATATTAATTACTCAAATGCAGGGAGTTTCTCTAAACACAAGTATTTAAACAATGAAATTTTGAAAATATTTAGGTTTTACTACAAAATATAAAAAAGGCAACTCTTCTTCTTTCTTAAGGAACTATTTAAAATCACTTAATTACATTTTTAAGTTTGATCACAGCAACTGAGATATATTAATCCCTTAATAAATTCCCACAGTTAAATAACTTTTTTTTTTTGAAGGGTTGAATAGGATTATCTAAAAGTGCACACAGGCTTTTGTAGTGTAAAATTCAGTAGTATTTCAAAGTAGAAAGTATAAAAATAAGATACCTTCCAACTTCATTTCAGTAAGTGCCCAGGTATTAAAATATATTGCATTAGCATTGATTTGTATTCACATAGCGTACATCATCCTATGATTATTTAAAACTAAAGATTTAACTTGCATATTAAATTAGAGAACTCTAGAATTTTAAACAGGAACATCAAAATGAAAAATTCTCTCTGCCAATATACTGTATCATCTTCCTGTATCACCTAATTTAATCGAAATTACCTTAGAGTTCTTATCAAACCAGAACTCCAACAGTCAAACATAAAAGAAATCATTTTTACAGATGTGAAAGTACTATGTAAATGGAAAATACAAGTGTGAGCTCTTTTATTTGTTATAAAATAATTCCTCAGGACAAAGAACTTAAAGATTTACAAGACTTATCAAACAATTATAGCGAAGTCACTTTTTTCCTAATTGTTCCACAATTAAAAAGAGAACTGAAAGGACATAAAACTATGTGGAAGTCAAAGAAGAGAAGTCAGCAGCTATTACAATGTGGAGCTTTAGGTTTTGTAAATTCAACATAACTATTCTCAACAACGTTTGAGTGGATCTATGATATGACATAAATTATAATTTTCTTGAATTTTAAATTGATCATGTGCACTGGGTTCCTTTTTGTGGGGGTATTAGCTTAGGAGTGAGTCTGATTGTCTACCCAGCTGCTAGATCCCAAGTTAGCATTGTCATTATCTATTAAATCTTGCAGAGCAATAACACATATATAACTATCTGTTTTAGGTATGTTCATGGTCAATATTATCCAAACAGTAAGCTTTATAACATGTCTAATTTATTCTAGTAATATATTTTAGTGATTTTATGAATTATGTTATTCAATAATTAGAGGATTATCTAGTGGGCATTTTAAGTTCCGAACAGACACACACACATTGGTAGAAAGTACATCATGTTATTAACAACTATGAGCATTTAGAGACCTGACTTTTTTATGGTTTTAAGTCCTTTTGATTCCATTTTTTATTTTTTATTTTTTATTTTTTTATTTTTATTTTTATTTTTTAAAGATTTTATTTATTTATTTGAGACAGAGAGAATGAGAGAGAGAGAGCACATGAGGGGGGGCGGTCAGAGGGAGAAGCAGACTCCCTGCCGAGCAGGGAGCCCGATGCGGGACTCGATCCAGGGACTCCAGGATCATGACCTGAGCCAAAGGCAGTCTCTTAACCAACTGAGCCACCCAGGTGCCCCTTGATTCCGTTTTTTAATCACAAGCAATTGAGGGATCTAGAATGATCTCTGTGCATATCTCTTTTGTCTGAAAATATTTACCCTGATCTATTTTCAGAACTTGGCACAAGGGAAAGACTTGGTTAGGCCACTTTGTTATGTCTGTATAGTGATGACACAGATTTATATGGCCATCTTAAGAAGTTATGCCAATTCTGATACAACCAATTATCTTGGAACAACTCCACTCAACATAATAATTTAAAATAAATTCCAACTCAGA